GCGCCCACCCCTGCGCCGCCCTGCCCAGCTCCCCCCCTGCCAGGGGCTGCAGACGTGTCTGCTGGGGTAGAGAGGAGGGACGTGTCTGCCCAGCCAATGTGAGGGGTGAGCCTTTGGGACAAAGAATTTCTGTCCCATCTCCTTGCTTCTTGTCTGGCCCCAGTGGCCTAATGGACAAGGCACTGGCCTCCGGAGCTAGGGGTTGTGGGTTCAAGTCCCACCTGGGGTATAGAACAGTGACCTTCTTAGTGTTGAATGGAAAGCACAGGCTTGCTTTTTCCCTATGGGGCCTGAGAGATGGTTTCCCAAGAAGTGCCACATCCTATAGGACAGCAGCTGTCTAGTCCCACCAGCTCCAGGAGTGACTCAGACAGAGGGAGGTGGCTGGAGCAGAGCAGGGTCTGTCTGGTGACAGGGCAGAGCCTGAGGAGGGGCAGCTCTGGCAGAGGCTCAGTAGGAGCAAGGGGGGAGCTACTTTGGCCTGGCCCTTTTACAAAGCCCTTGGGCATGGGGCTGGCATTGGGGGAAAGTTCCCTCAGCGATGGGATGAGGGGGCTGTGCTGGGCTAGGAAGGTGCCGTTCTCCCTGCTCTTGCCTCCGGACAACATGGCTGCCAGGCCTGGGTGCGGGCAGACTGGCAGTTGCTGCAGCAGCACAGGGGCAGGAGGTCCCACTGATGTGGGGGGAGGCAGCCCCACCAGCAGGCACAAGGCTGGGCCAGCATATGGGGGGAGGTGTTGGACTGCGTGTCCCTGCTGACATGGAGCTGGTTTGCCAGGTGTCCAGTTGTGAACTAGACGGTCCAGTATTTGAGCTTTCTGATCAGGAAACAAACTGAGACAATAGAAATGGAAATGTCCGGTATTTTCTAAATAATAACAATAATGTCGATTGTGATGTCATGTCAAGTGTTTCCCTGGCAGCCCTACACAGAGCCCAGGTGACAGGACACCTCCCAGTACTCACTGCTTCCAGCAACACCCTCACACCACTCCTCACAGCTCCCCCCACCATGGGGCAGGCAGGAGGGATTGTTCCCCCCAACTGACAGAAGGAGGGACAGAGGCTAAGAAAGGCAAAGGGCCTTGTCTGACCTCACACAGCCAGTCTGGGGCAGCGCTGGGCACAGGACCCAGATGCTGAAACTCCCCCTCAGTCTGGAGTTTCACACCCTGACTGATCAGAATAACGTGACCTCCAGTGAGATACAGCCCCACGGCCCGGCCTAGGGATGGCTCAGCCAGTGGGTTAGAAGCACCAGGACACAGAGAGACTCAGGAGCTGCTCAGAGACAAGCACTGGCGAGAAGCAGAACAATTCCCCGAGCAGACGAGAAGTTCTGGCTCATTTGCTGGGACTTAAGGAGAACAATGAAGTCCTGAGTCTCCTCCCTGTGACTTCCTCCCAGCTCAGTCAATCAGAACTGGGACTAGAACTGGAAGGCTGTGTCCACACTGATGGGCTGTGTCTACACAGGCGGGGTATTGTGCAAGAAGGGCCGTTCTTCCGCAGAGCATCCACACTGCCCACTCGCTCTTGTGCAAGAAGTTTTACAGTAAAGCGTGGTAAGAGAGGGCTTCTTGCGCAAGAGCTATGCTCTTTTCTAACAGGTGTAAGTCGTCTTGCGTAAGAGGGCAGTGTGGATGCGGGACAAGGGTTTCTTGCCCTATAGCTAAAATGGCCATCAGAGCTTTCTTGCTGAGGAGAGAATCCACACTGCCATGGATCCTCTTGCACATCTCAAGATGCTGCCAGACATAGCCAAAGAGATGGGGTCCAGTCCTCATAGCAAAGTAAATCACCCTCCATATCAATGTCTCTCCAAAACAGGAAGCTACCAGGAGTGGGGTTTGAACCCACACAGACAAACATCTATTGGATCTTAAGTCCAGCACCTTAACCACTCGGCCATCCTGGTGACAGAGGAAAGGCTAGACGTGTGCAAGTTCTCTCCCAAATAGCCCAGGGACTCGCTCTCAGAGCATCTTCCCATCCCATCCCTGTACCCAGGCTTCCCACCGAAAGGGTGAGAGAGCTGCCCCCTCCCCCCGCCTCCCAGTGAGGAGGGAAGCAGGAAAAAGGGAAACTAAACAAGACAAAACCCAACATCCCCAGGGATTCCAAGGGACAAAGGTCTGGTGGGGAAAATACCCCCCCCCCTTCACCCAGGTTATGTCTACACTCCCACCTTCTTGCATGAGAAATATGCAAATGAGCCTAAGTGTGGAATACCATGGAGCCTCATTTGCATACCTAATGAGACACCATTTTTGCAGAAGAGGCTCTTGCTCCAGAAGGAGCTGTCTACACTGCCCCTTCTTGCGCACGAAAACCCCTCTTGTGCAATGTCGCTATTCCTGAAAATAATCGTTGTAGCGGCCTTGCACAAGAGCTTCTTCTGGAGCAAGAGCCTCTTC